ATTTATATGCCTTTAAATATTTTTGGAAAAAATCCAATTTATTAATACTCAAGAAGTGTGTTTTTAAGTGAGTTAAGCATGAATATTACTATTATACTATATACTGATTCTATACGCCATTGTAGCCCGTAGATTTATCCCTTCATGAACACAATTAAATAATAAATATGAACCACATAGGTTTTTTGAAACACAGTTATTTCAGTTAGTTTGAACAAATACAAAATACAAGTCTTATATTATATCAAATATTCATAATAAGTRTTTTATTTTGATAACCAATAACAACTTTTTTATAAACCTTTGTGTATAATTTTTGTGAGAACTATTTTCGAATTTATGAGTTGAAAAGTAGTAAGTAAATAAATAATAAATAGTACACTTTGATACTACGAATATGGATTTTTCTGAACGTCAAGTAGGTTTTCTAACGAGGAACATTTTATGAAAATTGGCAATAAACAATGATAGTTAATGATTTTCATGATTGTTATCCGTTTTAGAAATTTTATTTTATATACTAGATATACCTACAAATTATAGCTCAGTTCGCGTGTTCAGCTCAACGGAGACGGTCGCACATAGCAAAGTCCATCTGCACAACGATAACGTCTCTATCGGMACAAATCGAATATAAGCAAACAAAATAAGGTAAGTGAACTTAAAATAATGTAAACCACATGAAACCTACAATGAGCGTTAATACTAAATCGCCCATTAAAAAGGGCCAAAACAACTTCTTTGCCACTAAAGCACCTAATAATCTACATCTCAACAACAAACAATCAAAACACCTAATAATAACCTAAAAATCACATCTAAAACCTCAAATGCCAAAACCAACTCAACTCCACAGCTCAACAACAATCCACACCAAAACAAACACCTTCAAACTTAATAACCAATGAAAACCAGATTTCATTTCGCAAATGCAGCAGCTAAAACTCGAAACCCAAAAAATGAACAAGCGATAATAATCGAAATAACTGATGACATTCAACACCATGAATATATATATATGCAATAGCAGAAATAACGAAACCGGAAAATATATTATTCATGTCACGCATATCTAAAGATAGATTCTGCATATTCCTATCATCGGTAGAACTGGTAGACAGCGTAGTTAATCACCCAACAYCAATAATAATTAACGAAAAACCAATTAAAATAATAAAATAATTTAACCCCGATAAAAGAATATTATTATATCAAACGTATGCCCAACAATACCAAATGAAACAATTCTAAGCGAACTCAGTAACATTGGTATAAACCCTACCAGCCAAATAATTCATCTCAGAGCCGGCGTCAAAAAAGAAGGTTTTGGACTCATCCTTAGTTTCCGAAGACAAATGTTCGTATCCACAGAAACCATCATAAATCTCCCTAATTCTTTACTTATTAATCACGAAAGAACTAATCACAGAATTTTTTTTCGGATGWTTCACTAACTTGCTTCATATGTAAAAAATTGGTCACACTTCCTCCAGTTGCAATGAATCCACAGAAGCAACCATAAAAAATCAGAATAATTTTGGAAAAATAAACGATACTCTCACCATACAACATCAACACATAATAACAATAATCCGAACAAGCAACATACAAAAAGAACACCCTGTAGAGAACCCAATTATAACTACTGCAACGAATAACACCGATAACGAGGATATCGACCT